GGTCTACGCATACAAAAATCGCTTACGATTGATTCATTGCGGGAGAGGAAGGCAGCCTATTCCGCATTCTGGTGCTCTGTTTCAAGGCGACGATGATCCTCGAGTTGACACTGATCAGCGTGATGAAAGGAATGATGAACATCACCAACGTATAGAGAATGCATTTAGTTACAATGTTGTAAGCCTCATTGGATTTCAAGGACGTCAAAGTGATACTTCTGAAAAGAACAAAGATTTGAAATTTTCAGGGAACTGGCTATTCAAATACAGAAGGAGGTATGCAGATATTTGCGTACACTTTCGATCAGGCAGCGAACTAGCAGCAATATTTTCAGCCTACTATGTCACAGCTCTCAAACCCTCAGACTAAGGATTCATTTGATTTCCTCAGAAGCAGATGGTACAATAGATTAGATACTGTTGAAAATGAAACTTATTATGGGAAATTTTTTAAAATGAAAGAAGAACGAAATTAAAGCAACACCCCCAGCAGAAGCCGTGTTGAGGAGTCTATTCCGTGGCACAGATATGCCGTTGTCGCAAATCCAAAGTGCGCGACAATGGTGCTAGGGTCTCACAAAGTCAGCATTTGGCAACTGATCTTTGCATTCGGACGAGTTACGTCGCGCACACCCAACACGCAACGCATTTTACGGCGTAGCGGCTGATTCAATACGCGCGGGTTAGTTGAGCCGTGGAGCAGGCAGGCTCGTACAACTCGTCCAGCCCCGCCCCTTCCCTTTTGGACACCCCTATCCGCTCTCCTGCCACAACTGCTAACCAAGAACAGAGAACCCGACTGACTCCCCGAGTATGATATTGCTAGGACGCTGAGAGCGCGCCCTTCGAAGCGAAAACCCACGTCACTTCACTTTATGGGTCGAGCCTCCCTTTGGTATGGACACCTTCCATTTCTCAGGTTTGAATTATTAATTTGTGCTTTGTACACTGTGAGTAAGTGCGAGGTTTGCACTGTTGTCTCATTGCTCATGTTTTGGGAACAAGTTTGATCTCAAGAAGTTTGATCTCTCAATCTCAATCTTTTCATTTTTCTCAACTTGGTCTCGTATGTCGTATTTAAGGACTCATCGGAGGACTACTGCTCATCCACTAGTTCCATTTTTTCAACCATTTTGATAGCACCATAAAGGACAACGCTGCAAGCAAAAGCATATTCAGTTCGGACGACGAGATTTATGTATAAAAGCTGCATTAATTTTTAAATTACCTAATATTTAGAATATTCAAGGTCACGTTGCTCCGCGCCTCGGCAGAAAACCGAGACCCATAGATCAATCCCCACACTGAAACCTGTCTAGCTTTGATGAATAAATAATGTTTTTCGAAAGTGTTTATCAGGAATCACATTCACCATTGGCTTCAACATAGTTCCAATATGCAATATTGAAAACGGTCCTGGAAATTCAAAAGGTGATTCCTCCACAGACTTCCTGGCTTCACTTCCAGAAATTTTAAACCTCCAGTGAGAAGGGTTTCGGGTTTGATGGCTTTCTTTTAAACCTTACAAAAAAGCAGGTCTTTCAGAAAATGCCAGCTTTTTCAAAACGGTTATTTTTACGATATAAGGGTACTTGCATGGAACACAGAACTGTGGTTCATTTTTCCTGAGCGGCCCTCAAAATACTATTTAAAAAAAAATCCACTTTTGGTGAAGTGGTCCGTGGTTCGGTCATATGGGTCGCTTAGGAAAAATGAACCACAATTCTGTGTTATCGTGCAAAAAACCGTTTCGAAAAAGCTGGGCATTTCCTGGAAACTCCCTAGTTAGTGATCTTTTCAGCGCTCTTCTCTTCTCATTCCTAACTTCGTCAAAGTTCTTTTCTAGAGAAGCACCCAAAAGTACTAGGTTCCATCAGTTAACGATCTAGTGAACTCCACCTGACGGTCTGGCCGAACTCCTTTGAGAGGCACTTTGTTATGTCCAGATTCCTATCTAACCATGTATGAATATTGATCAGGATACTGAATACAATTGATCCTGAAATAATGAATATTAAAAGTGAGTTGGTTGGAGCGCTCAATAGTGAAGGTAGAGACTACAAAAGAAGAAAAACTAATTAGCATTGAGAAGCGGCGTGCTTTAGGTGAGGCCTGAGTCTGCCATGGGACTTGCGACGCGGCTATGAGGTGGGCCTGTACCGGTGAAATGTTATAAACGGCAGGCGAAAGTGTGGAGGCGAGGAGTTAAATGATAAGCGGGGCCAGAATCAAATTCTCGTAACTGGCTTCCTAGACGCTCCGAAGTTCGGAAACAATCAGTAGATCATCAGAGAGCAAAGGAAGGAGGTAAAATGCTAATGGTGGACTGAGCTCCACTCTAGAATTTCGGACGCCAGGCTCCTTGACGTCAAGAAACATGTACTGGTGCGCGCGATAGCGTGCGGCACCAAGAAAATTTTGACATACTGAGTTTGATAGAGGACGATTTCCCATGCTGTTCACACAAAGCAAGTCTATGATCCTTCCCAAAAAGCATAACGCCGTTAATGTCAGCCTAGCTATCAAAATCCTGTCTTGTAATTGAGAACTTACCTATAATTGCGGTTTTTACCGGTTTGCCGCTGACCCATCGTTTGGCCCGAAATGGATGGCAAACGCCCAGATACCTGGAAAACGAGTAATGTACAGTAATGCAACTTTGAGTTCTCGGCCGCTGGCCCTCGTAAAACAATTTATTACTTCCTAGGGACATCAGGACTTCATCCGGCTTTAAAGGAATCTTCCACGGACCATGGACCAGTGGGCGGGACCGGAAGTGGTTTTGCGACGAAATGCATGGTAGGTACGGATCCACGTTCATGGGAAGGTTTGAAGTGAATCCTGTTCACGTTCGTGCGTTCGACACGTGGATCCGTACCTACCATGCATTTCGTCACAAAAACTTCCGGTCCCGCCCACTGGTCCATGGTCCGTGGAAGATTCCTTTAACAGGTGATCAAATATTGGTTTGGACATTTTCGTCACGGCCTTCGTCATCGCCGCTATGATGGCGAAGCAAATTCATCTATGGAGTCGTAACGTTTCGAAATAACTATTGGAATATATGGCGCGGTCCTTTGCACACACCGCCGAACAGCCAACCAGAATGTACCAGAAGTTCGAGCTTTATTCAGAAATGTTGGGGCGTTCAGGCCGCTCACTTTTGGCCTACATATAACATAATCAAGCCAATTCCATGCCCTAATTCCAGACAAGGATAGCAGTAACAAAACAATTCGCGGACAAATGGAAAAATAGCCTGTCCGGCGAGCGTACGAAAAAGTTGTTGCTCTTCAGAGTTAAGGAGTAGAAATGATAAAGAGTGCACTAGTCAAGAAGAACACGAGAGGAAATTGCTCAGAACCCGCGTACTGGAACCTTCTGACCCGCTTTGATCTCCGCTTCGGATGAGCCAGTGACCAAACTGACCTTGTTTTCTGCTCTTAATCACGATAGCCGGTTTTTAACACCTTGACGACAGCGCGGCAACTAGGTTTGCCGCGTTTTGCACGCCGCAATGGACATTGTGGCAACTATAGTTGCCACACCCTTTACATTCAGTTTTTTCTTGAACGCGCCATTTCTTCCCAGGTTTTTTGTGTTCATTTTTTAGGCCATACCACAACATAACCAAGAACCACGCGGCTTATAGAATGACCAAATATTCTTTAGTTTGGCAGAGGTTTTTCGGACCGGACGAAAATATCCGTTCAGTTCATTCCTCATTTTCTCTTCATTAACACGAACATGTAGATAAAAAAGAATATTAGAAGTGAGTACAAAGCTACTCGTGTGGCAAGATATGTGTTTTTACCGAAACAACCACGTCCAAAATAATTTTGAAATCACTAAAGCAAAAGTAAGTGAAACTTGCCTTTTCAATGCTGTAACACATCATTCGACCGCACTTTCACATGTGTACCTTCCAATAAGTTTGACACACCGAATATCAGTGAAAACATTTTGTCGCATCGAAGTATTGCGTATTTAAAGCTCAAAATCCACAGATTTGTTGTGAGGCGGCGGCGCTCGCAGAACCGCTCTGGTCCCACGCGGCCAAAAATGCCAAAACGCGCGATGTCGTCAACGTGTTAACAAACACAAACACCACCCTTTCATTGTAAACGTATTTACCTAGAACAACTCAAGGAGACAGCCGCTTCACGGAAAATGCCGTTTCGAAATGAAGATAAAGGTAAATACAATATGTGATACCTGTAGCAGCATTCAAACAATCATAGCTAGAGTCCTGCACTTGGAAACGGACCCCACCGCAGTAGGTGAAGCTTGCCAGGGTTAGGGTTACTTGCGTGGCAACAGGCGCGTCTTTCGCCTCGATACATGCTACATGCAGTCTCTACTCGCTTCCTTAGGAAGCCGCCGTCATTTTCGGGTGGGCATACCTCTCCCTCCCTTGTTTCACGTCCACTTTAGCATAACATCCTCGTTTAACTTGTGGGTGTCATCGTTTCCTTATCGTTCTTAGTTCAGTGGACCTTAAATGTTTGCTGAATAGAAATGGTACTTACCGGTGCACAGAGACCAGCACTGTCAGGTAGACTCCGCAAGTTTGCGTGCTAAGGGCAATTGGGTATGCGTACCTGAAGATGTTTAAGCAGCTTCTCACTGACTTATGATAAAACGATTGACTTTGTGAAGCAAAATTTTTGTAACAAAGAAATCAAAGCCTAAGCAAAATGGCGGCAATTGTTGGCTTACCATAGTATTAATGGAAAAGAGTCGTGAAGAGTGACAGAATTGCTCATGGAAGCAATTACTGGGAAAATCAACATGAAGAAATTGCACAGCAATAGTAGTAAATCCGATATTGACAGAACCTGAAAATTATTGTTGTTTTTGAGGCTCACTCAATTTTCCACAATTAAATGCCCTTCTCTTCTTCATGAACTCTGGCGCATGGTTTTCAGATCAATTCAGTAAAGGTAAAATTTACGCTGGAAAAGCAACCTCATTTCAAATTAAGTTAAGGATGGTACAGAAAGAAGGAAAAACCATGAGAAACGGCCCAGAACCCGAGAAATGGGACCCCTTCCTTGCCCGTTGATTTCCGCATTGATGCGACTCTCATCGTGCCCTCTTCAACGCTCTGCTATGTCGGTGGGCGTACCGCGCCAACTGCGCCAAGAGTGAGCCATGCTAGATCGCCGAGGTCAAATCTTTCGCTGCCAATTGCGCGTCGGTCCGCACCCTCAGGAGGTCCGCCTGTCTCCCAACTAGGCAATTTTCCCTTCTTTGACCTTCGTTCTTATCGTGGAATCCTCCTTCAAGTACAACCTAGAAAACGTTGAAGCAGGCTCAATCCCAACGATTGGAGAAAATTTGCAATTGGAGGACCTCTTTCCATCTTTGGATCAAAATTATGGACATCATAGATCTTTGTGAGCGAGGGTATCAACAGGCCCTCGCTCACAAGGATCCGTGAGGTCTATAATTTCGTTGAAGCTGGTTCGTCTTTGCACACCTCGAAACTCCGCCCAGATAACTCCGAAACCGCCTTGAGTGGGGAGGAGAAAGGTGGATTTTCAAAATTCTTCAAAGGAATTTCAACTGTCAAAAATTTGTTTTTTCTTCTTCAACACATGACACTCATTTTCTCCGATTAGGATCTTCGACCTAGGACGACAGAATGCGAACCCATCCTATTGAACCCTGTCAACGGACGCACTACCTGCTTCGGAGCGCTAATCAACTGCACTTTGCAGCGAAATATCGCTAGAAGGAAATACATTGAGGTCAGTCATATCTATAGCATGGCAGTCAACGGATGGAACATCTATAAGAGGATTCAAGAATGCGCAAGAAAAGGAAGGGGAAACGAAGAGATGAAAGAAGTTACGTGTTCGATGCGCTCATGGATGACGTTATAAGCGGAATTTCAGAAGTTGAACTGATTAAACCACTGAAGACCGCTGCCGAGCGCACCTCCCCATCCTTTTTCGTGCGAGTTCTCTTCCGCCGGCACCTCTTATTTCTCGAGCGGCTTCATGCACTTGTGAGATCACTGCCTCGTAGAGGAGACGCGCATACACAAATTAGGTGCCTTGTTTGGCAAAATGGTGTGTCTTATCTCTCTCAACACGTTGGAATGGAACACCAACACTGACTTGAGCCTCGGGTTTCTAGGCAAATGATTTCACTATCCTCTTCCTCCTCACCTCTTCCTCCATTCCCTTCCAGCTGCAACGACAACACTAAGAATGGTACAAGGTGTGCTTGCCTTACCGTGGCTGTACCTATGATACTTGGGGGGGGTCTTTAACCCATTCGCGACCGCGCCGGTTGCGCATTAGCAGAGAGTCAGGAGATTTTTCTTCAATAAAATTTGAGTGGATGGAGATTTCCCCTGCCCAGGGCTGGCGTAGATGAATGAGGGTATGAAGATTCTTTTCAGGAAAGAAAACTTTCCAAATTCCATTTGAAACACGGCAGCCACCGGTGGATACCATTGTCCCAAGTGAGATCTTTGTCAGCCACCGGTGGCTGCCATTGTCACGAATGGGTTAATTAAGTTGAAGAACCGCTGGTTCAACGAGTAGGATTGGGTGGATACTTTTCCAAGGA